CTTCAGGGTTACTGAGATCCATGGCAGGGAAGTTGTCGACCCGCTCTAGGAATGAGGATTCTGTCATCGTAGCTGCCCCATACCGCTCATCAAGTATTTCCCATGATAGCTTGAGGGCTTCGACTGGCTCGTACATTTTTGCTGCGTAGACCCCCTTTACTGCTTGTGTTGATTGTGGGCCTAGCCATGTGAACATATGACCGAATTCCTCGGCTGGCTCCAATCGTTCGCTTTTAATGGCATTTACAAAAAGAAGCTTCCATAGCATGTAATCTATGCCTGATTTGTTGGAGAACTTGTGTACTCCCCTATGTGCCAGGTCCATCCTTCTCCAGGATGTTGCAGTATCCTTTTGGACTTCAGGAGAGTTATACGATGGGGGTGGTGGCAAGGTTCGCCCTACTGCGTTGGCTAGGGCAGGATTAAGTGCCAACGCTGGCTGGTAGTTCCCTACAGCGTGTTTATGGACAATTTCGTCTTTCCATGCCACAGGTGATGATAGGTCCTTTTCCTGGCAGGCAAGTGGAGTACCTCCATTGGGCTGGACGTCGGCACTCGGAACGCCTGGCAGGTTTGGCTGGAACTCCTTAGCCTCCACTCTGAGGTGGTGTCTCATGGTTGTTTGCGTGCTTGGCTCCAGAGACGCCTTCATTGCTGCTGAAGGAGTACTCTGGTTGCCCCGAATGTCTTCATTTGCCGGGGTAGGTTGTGCATTTTCAAAGGAGGAGTCTCGTGGTCTAGATCTTACAATATCTGATGTCTGAGTAGTTCGTAGAGCCGGTGGGTGAGGTTCTCCTCTTTGTCCCTGCTGTGGGGAGTTCTGGTCCTCAACATAGGCTTTGACACGCTCATCTGAGTCCTCTTCCTCTAACTGTCCAGGATTGAAGTTGAGTGAAGTGTGTTCAGCCGCCGCCTCTAAAGCTTCAGCCAGTGTTACTTTTTCCAGTGTCTCTTTTTCATACTTCAAATAGTCTAGTCTGGCCTGAACTTTGGCCAATTCTTCCTTCAGCAATTGTTCTTCCTTTGCCACGCTCAAGGTTGCTTTGGCCACTGCAGCTTCGGCTCGTGCCTCTGCGGCCCGGGCAGCGAAACTCCTCGCTGTGGAGGCTCTGGATGACTGGCTGTGATGGGAAGATGCTTTGGAAGGATGGAAGGAACCTGAGGCAGAAGATTGTTGTGAGACACTGCTACCTTGCCGAGCCCGGGATGACTTGTAAGAGGGGACCGCTTGTGACCGATGAGATGATGCGTGTGAGCGATGGGTTGCTTTGGATTGGGCCTTCTCACTCGCAGCTTTCTTGGAAGAATGAGCGATAGATGCATGTGAGCGTTGGGGTGAGGAGGCTTTCTCCCTTGATGTGCCTTTCGCCTGGAGTGCCGTGTGGAAGGAGTTCTTACAACTTTGAAATATTTTCCCACGTTCCACACTCAACATCTCTAAGCGTTGCATGTCCCCCATGAGTTCTGGGTCTTCTAGCTGCTGCTGGATGTTGACAAGATGGCTTTCAGAATTCTTCCATTGCTTATAAAGTTCATCCATTTCATTCACCATCGTGCGGATGCAGCCGTGTGAAAGCTCATCCACGGGCCTGTTGCAGATCTGTTGCAAGTTCTCCCAATACCTTTTGTTGCGACGATAATGCTTGTCCCAATCTTCCTTCAGGCTTGACTGCATAACAGCAGTGAGCTTCCTGTGCTGCCTGAGGTCATAGGTTCTCTGATGAGCTTCAGCCTCTTTGGAATTTTGGACATTCACTTCTGGAATTGTGTCGATGACACAATTGGTGATGGAAGGGTCATCATTCCTGATGAATCATATGCTTCTGCCATGATTGGATAAGACTCCACGGCATCCGATGCTTCAGGTGTGTCAAGATTAGCTGGGAGGTTCAACTCTGCTGACTCATTAGAGGTCTCAGCCATGACTGGGAAACTCGGGGAACTTTCTGCAAACTTTAGGAGATGTCGTTGCAGTTCGCCTGTTGACCACTGGGGTGCGCTGCAAACTCTAGGGGATGTCGATGCAGTTCGCCTGTTGACTGCTGGGGTGCGCTGCAAACTTTAGGAGACATTGTTGCAGTTCGCCTGTTGACCACTGGGGTGCGTTGCAAACTTTAGGAGACGTTGCTGCAGTTCGCCTGTTGACCACTTGGGTACGCTGCAAACTCTAGGGGATGTCGATGCAGTTCGCCTGTTGACTGCTGGGGTGCGCTGCAAACTCTAGGAGACATCATTGCAGTTTGCCTGTTGACTGCTGGGGTGCGTTGCAAACTCTAGGAGACATCGTTACAGTTCGCCTTCTGACCACTGGGGGTGGTTGGTGCAGTACACCTTTGGCCACTAGGGTGCTGTTACCTAACTAATGCTTGGGTTAAACTGGTTTCAGCGTGTTCCTTTGTATAGAGCTGCAAAGCAACTGTCCTATTTGGAGACCCTAAGAGGCTTTCCTCGACTTGGGTTCCTTTGGGCTTTAGTTGCTTGGCCTGTAAAGGGGATTTAGCTTTCCAGTATTTTATTCAAGCAAGATTCAAAGCAACAGCATGCACTGTGGCTGGATTGTTTCTTTTTTCAAATGCACATTGAGTGGTCAGGCTGGGAAGCAACTTGTATCATGCAAATTCAATCTCCAAAGAGCTTAGGTGGCTCGGATTACTTTGTGTTAAAATAAGGCTTTTCATTTTACTGACGAAGTAAACTTCTAAAACAACATACACACAAACTTTGCAAAGGTGATTGAAACATGCAGCCCTGGGCCCCTTTATGGCAGGGCAATCTTCTTAGCTAGTCCAAGAATTGTATTTCTCTTTCTGCCCTTTTACTGCCAAAGGTGATTCAAACATGCAGCCCCTGGGCCTCTTTATGGCAGGGCAATCTTCTTAGCTAGCACAAGAATTGTCTTTCTCTTTCTGTCTTTTACCGCTGAGCAGAATACTTCACTCAGACAAAGAGAAGGAAAGCAAGTTTGTCACTTTCGTGGCTAAGCAAAGGTCTCAATTAGATACAAACAAAGTCCTTTTATAAGTTGTGCACAGAGAAGAGATGCATTTTCACTCAAACAGAATGTCCATCAATGCTCCGAAATAAAGGGAGGGGGTCAGGCATCTACATCTTTTTACTGTTCTGTTCCCCAGGCATCTGGCTCCACTGGGAACAGGCAGATAAACTCTAGCAAACAGGTTTTCATGCAGATTATATTTATTTGGGAATCCTTGAACACATAAGACTTACAATCATAGTGAGTCCAGGTGAGATGCATCCATATTTCATAATCTGTCCCATTTCCTAGTGTAAAAGGATGGTAGTTCTGACTCCCTGTTCAGAAAGCATGTTCTCTCTTCTGAGGTAATTCAACATATAGCCAGGTCTTTGTTCTAAAATCCCGGCAGAGAGCCTCAGTGGCCAATCAGACACACAAATAAGGTTACATGTCATGGACTACATTTCCTATAATGCAATCTCTCACTACATCTCCCACAATGCAATCTCTTAAGGAGACAGCTCTTAATTCTTAAGGTAACTAACTCACCACAACTCACTATCTGTAACAGCACAGACACCCCTGCCCTAGAGAGATACATCCCTCTAGGTTTTTGCAGCCAAAAACTTGGTTTGTCCCCTGCCCTAAGTTGTCAATACAAGTATTGAATAAGGCCAAGGAGACACCGATTTTCAGTCTTTCCTTATCCACAGAAGCTCCTTGGGCCATTTTCTCTCTCTCTCTCAGGCCAGACTGTCTAAGTGGGGATGCTGTGGGGAGGGAACAGATGGAGAAGGAAAACTTTGACACACACACCGCCCCCAAAAAATAAGCTGAAGACCCCATTTGTTTATTTTGACAATGGCCTTGAAGGAAATATTTAAACTTTTCTCTATTCTTATCTAAATTATACATTCTAATCAAATTATTTTTAAAACAAAGGTGCCATCAGTATTACCCATTCCTTCCTTCAAGTAGGCAACCTAGTCCTTTTATCTTCTTGAAAACTTTGGGAGGTGGGTTAGACTGATAAGACACTTAATCAAGGTTACCAATATGGTCTTGGGAGTTTAATTTCAATCTGCCCTGTTCTAGTTTCATGTTGTACTGATATGTTCAACTAGCTAGACTTCAAAAAGAAGACATCTGTAAAAATGTTATAGTGCTCTTTTCATGTAAAAATAATACATAATAAATCAATAACGATACAGGACAAATGTGTTCAGATTAGTCTGCCTTTCTTTTAATCTGCTTGTAAGAGAATTCATTCATGGTATTTCCAACAACCCCCCCCCCCCACATGCCCCTGAATTGCTCTGACAAGTGATAAACTTGTTTGTTTGAATCCACCTTGGATGCATTTGGGGAGATCTGAATTATTATTTATAAAACAGATCAACAGATCTCTTTCTTGAAGCCACAATATCCCTCATTGGCAACCACAGTCTTCTTTACTAAAGGATGTCTTGGAGGGTATACAGTGATCTGAATTGTGTAATATTTGGAAAAGTGGACAGAGGGATTAAATTCCTGGCCAAGTTCATACCAAACCAAAAAGCCCGCTTCTCCTGTTTCTAATGAGATCAGGATTGAGAAAGTTAACATGCAATCTCGCGGCAGGTCTGAAGGTTAGGACCTCGTTGTAGAAATCAAGATCCGTCAAGATCTCTGGAGGCCTCTCTAATTAAGGACAGGAAGAGCTCTACGCTTTCACTTTATCCCTCGACAAGTTGTGAAAGAGAGAGAAGCAGAAATCAAAAGAAACGTTAAAACGCTACAAAAAAACACTACCTAGGGTCAAGATCCACGTTCCTACACGCTCTTCTTAGGGATAAGTCGCAGGGATCTCAGAGGGATTTACTGGCGAGTAATTGCACAGTTTGCAAAAATCATCGCCGCCGCCGCTACCGCTGTGTCTTGAAACTATAGCCTGTCTCTTGCCCCTTACAGAAAACACGAAAGAATTAATAAGCAAAGGGCAGAAGTATTTCCCTCTGCAGAGAATCTGACGTCTCCGGCTCACCTTCCCAGTCATGCATTTCTCCAAATGTTCCTTTTGCACACTGGCGCGCCGCAGACGCTGCATGTAGAAGAAGTGAGAGAGCGATCACATCGATCGCCACGGTAATCAGCGACTCGGCATTTGATTTGTAACAGTGCCGGTAGCCGCCGGGAGAGGAAATGGAAGGAAGGCTGTCCCTATTGTCGAGAAACCGAAGCAAAAAAGGTAGGTTGTGTGAGAAAACCACCACCTTTAGAATGGAGGATGTGTCGTGGAAAAAGTTGCTACTGCCAACTGCCTGGCTGCCCGTTCGTGGGCCTTTAATTATTCCAAATCAGGAAGGCACTGAGACGTTTGAAACAAGCATTACACGTATTTAAACCTCCGCAATGCTGCTAGCATTGCGAGAAGCCATGCGACAAACCAAAGGTACAACCGTATGTTTGCAATTAGAAGAATAATTTATAGGCTTTCTTCTAAAATCAGGTTTATCAGCTCTGGAGCACAAAATTTCAGGCCACAGTCATAACTTTTTCAGTCCTAGATCTAGGACTGAAGTTCTAAGAACTACTTTACAATCAAGGACCATTTCTTCCTGGTTTCCCTAAAACGTTTAAATAGCCTATCTCTTCTGCCACAGATTTTAAAAGTAGGTTTAGTGTCTGTACTTCGCAAATAAATTCTCAGAGGCTTTTATTGTTTTGAATATCTTGGTATAATCTGCAATTATTTGCAGATCTATATTTTGCTACACTTATTTTAAGCAAATCATACTGTAATAAATTCTCCTTTTTCTGTGGAAACTAATGTTAAATGACTGAATTGATTGTCCAAGGCCATGAACACAGTTTATGTGTTTGTACATGTCTGAAACAGTTGTAAAGAATGGGAAATGGGTACATGGAGAATTTCTCGAGTATATCTTGTGAGCTGCCCAGAGTCACTTAGATAAGATGGGAAAAAATTAATAAATAAATAAAAATACCTTGGATTCTTGAAGAGCTCCACTAGATAGGCAGTGGTCAGAGATGCCAAATATGTCCTCACATCCTCTTTACCGGAACCATGGTCATATGTACAGCTACAAAAGTTTCAAAGCATGCAGCCATATAGTATATATATATATAGCCTTTGCAATATTACAGATCCCCCAGGAACCAACTGGTTACTCTAGATGATTATTTAATTTATAATTCCATCCACAGAATACTCAAGAATCTTAGAAAAAGTAGCAAAGAACCATATGGAACGGGAAACCAGCTGCAGTTCAAGTGATGGAAAGTTCCCGCTTAGTGTCTGCTATAAAGAAGCATAAAAGTCAGAATGACATCAATTGCAACATTTTCATGATTATCACACACGTATTATCATCCTGGAAACCAATGCTCCCCTATATCTAGTGAAGGAATTGGACAAATTTTTCCAGAAGATGCCATTAGGCAAGATGAGATCAGCAAATCATTTGTAGAGAGCAAGAATCTCAATGGATCAATGCTTTGAGCTTGCAGAAGCTTCTAATTGTATATTGATTTTTCATGCCATGCTAATCATTTTTATTGGTAAAACACAATATTTCTATAAACAATCTGAGGACTGTTCAGAGATTATTACACCCTATGGGGAGAATTCTGTTCATGTGCCTAACTTGCAACTCGAGTGATAAGAATCAATTCAGTTTTGCATCTCTATTTTCATGTAGCGTGTTATTATTTACATACCTTTCATTTTATTTATTCTTACCCATTTAAAAATTTGTATCTTATTTTTTAAAAATCTTTTGTAAGGGCTCTTGCATCCAGTCAGCAAATCATATAACATCTAACCTGCTAACTTCATCATTTTGTCTTCAATTATTCATTCTGTAACACAGTCTCTAAACCTACATTACAAATTAATCAAAAATAATGTTTCAGCTTATAAAATGAGTAAGGGTGATATATGCAGGTAATAATCCTTTTAATTTTTCAATATTCCCATTCTTTTTAATAATTGTAGTGTCTCTGGCTGTCATTAATTGTTAAAAGAACAAACTGTGACTTCAATCTCTTCTTCCCAATAAACTGATAGTGGAGGCCATTGTCAATCTTACCAACCCAGTGGTGGGATTCAAATAATTTAACAACTGGTTCTCTGCTCTAATGACTGGCTGGGTAGGTGTGGCTGGGTGGTCATGGCTAACTTGACATCACTCATGTTGAAGAGCGCCTCGCCCTGCCTCTCCTTGCCAATCTCAGCCCCGTCTCACCCCTCCCCTCCTAGCCACTCCTTGTTATGCCCGGCTTTGCCTTGCCTGGCCTCTCCTCATTGTGACCACAATTGAGCCCAAAATTTATGTTGCTAAGTGAGAAATTTATTAAGTGAGTTTTGCCCCATTTCACAACTTTTCTTGCCACATTTGTTAAGTGAATCACTGCAGTTGTTAACTTAGTAACACATTTGTTAAGTGAATCTGGCCTCCCCGCTGACTTTGCTTGTCAGAAGGTTGCAAAAGGGGATCACATGACCCTGGGAGACCACAACCATCATAAGTGTGAGACAGTTCAACCATCTGAATTTTGATCACATGACCGTGGGGATGCTGCAATGGTCATAAGTGTGAAAAACGGTCATGTCACCTTTTTCAGTGCCTTTGTAACTTTGAGTGGTCACTAAGTGAACTGTTGTAAATCAAGGATTACCTATACAAAAATACAAATAAAGCATTATGTTGTAGATGCCATTGAAGACTTTGATGGATAGTAGCAGACGTATGTGTGTGTTTAACCTTTAATTCAGATTTTTTTAATCATTAATCCTGATCAGTTGGTGTATACGCCTGAAAAAATATATATCTGTATTTTAGTCCCTCAAATGTAGAATATTTTTATGCCCTTCAAGTGTCTGTGAAACTTTAAGGCTAAAAGGCACAGTTCTTTAAGCTTAATCCTTTACCCAGAAAAAAGCTTAATTTAAATGAAGGAATAACAGAGAAAATTGCTAGAGTAATTTTTTTTTTCACTATTGTAAAAATGGCAACTTACTTGCCTAAGAGTCACAAGAAACCAGGTAATCTCCTATGAGTCAAGCTAATAGGACACTCAGGGCACAACAATAATTGTTCTCTAGAAACTCAAGCAGCACTCCGGAGCTAAGTAGTGGAGGAATAGAAGTTAAGACAGGTAGAAAATGTCTTTTATTACTAACACAAGACACTCTTAGTAGAAAGATAATCAGCTATTGCAGAACCTATCAATCCATGTTGGAGTTCAAATCTTGCCTCTCTTTCTTCCATTTTTACATAATAATGAAATTATTGTTTTTTTTCCTTTAATCTTGATATGGAGGGGAGCTGCATCCTGTTTTGATCATGATCTGGTCTGGTCTCCGATTCTTAGTTTCCGGCCTTGCAGTTTCAATTCTCCCTTCTTCATGGACATATCTGTGAAACTTTCATTACCGTCTTCCAGAGAACAAACTTTTTTTTCAACTTCCCCATTTAGCTTACAATAATTGTGACTGTCATTGATCTTCAGTGTGTATTCCCCCATTTCTAGTATAACGATTGGCATTTAGGGCAGATTTTTGCAAGCAAAGAAGCTTTTTGACAGATTATTAGGTAGAAATTTATTTTAAAAATATTAAAAAGCCTTCTGAAGTTAGAAAATAATAAATAGTGTTCACTAATTTGTACTAATTCATATTAAACTTACTGAGATGATTGATATGAAGAAATTAGTACTACTATCTAACTTTTGGAAAGTTACAGTCTATGATTTCATTCTGACTTATTTGTCAGAATCAGAGGTCCTTTGGAAAATGATGCTATGGTCTGCAGTAGGGGGCAGCAAAGGAACATCACTACATAAGTGAAAGGATACTGATAATATATTAAATAAAAATTATAGGTATCTCTCTTGATGCAAAGTAAATGGCATAATATTCTTCTGTTTCATTCCCAAATGAAATTATTCAAGCAATTGTTATATAATGTTATCTGTTAAATATTTCACTTCATTTCTGTCTTTTTGTTATCTATGTACAGTATATGTGTGTGTATACAAATACATAATAAACAAAGAAAAAGTGAATATTGAAAGCTAGGTAATTTGTGCATGCTAGAAAAGGTTTGCATTCTAGTTTAAAACAGAACGTACCATTTATTTAATTAAATTATGGTATGTTTTGACTTTGAAAATTCTACATTTGTACAATTATTATTTTCTAAGGATCAACTATCATGTTTCTCTGTCTCTGGTACTTTGGATTCTTTTATTCCAAGCGCACACTAACTGGAGAGTATGTTATAATGCTGTTATAATGGCTCGTATGGTTAGGACGCTGGGTTGGAGGTTAGCAAGCTCGTATTTGAGACTTGTGTGCTGCCATAGGATGGGGTGACTTTACCTTTGCTCCAGCTCCTGCTGGCTACATGAAAAGAGCCCCCAACTGGGCATGCGCCAGGCAACAGTGATGTCACTGGCCAATCATTTCAATCCGGAAGCCCATCGGGGCTTCTGACATGTGTATGATGTGAGTGCATATAAGAGCCAAATATATTGCTAAGTAAGATACAATTGGTGTTGAGGGACTATGGAGCTTTAGAAGCAACATAATCTAATGCCATATTTAGACCTGCCTTCCATGTCTTTCCACTCTAAAACCGAGAGCAGTTCAGCATCCATATTTATGTAGAACCCAACTTCTATTTTCCTTTCTTTTTAAGACTTCATTAACCTGGGCAAATAGCTCTGCAAAATGCAGTAAAAAATCTTATTTTAAGATCTCACCAGATACTACAGTTGTCATAAGAGAGTCATGTTTGACTTGAATAACTCTGTATTTTTCTATCAAAACTTAGGATCAAATGTAGGAGGAAAAATTCATTTTTGATGTGAAATCAAGTTTTTGTCAGGGGAGAGCAGAAACAAGTATCCAATGAACTAGAGTATGAATTATATCCTGTGCTGTTTTTATTATTGAAAAAGCAGGAAATAAATTCGATAAAGCATGAAAACAAACTATCGTCCTCCATTTTCTTGTACATTCTTGCATACTTTCCACTTTCAGTAATAAAGCATTAGTACAATATTTGATTAATTGAGGACAGGAAGGCTTGGAGGAATGTTGTCCGTGGGGTCACAATGGGTCAGACACGACTTTGCAACTACTAACAACAACAACAATCTACTTTTGTGAGTGCTTTATTTCTTTAAATACCATGCTAAAGGAACATTATACTAGAAATCACTCAGGAGTGGCAAATTGCCAAGCTCTGTTCATGATTCGCAGTGCAAATAAAAATTTCCTCATTAGTAAATTCACTAAGATGAAATCTCTTTTACCCATATTTCCATTTTGTTTTTGTTTTTCTTTTGTAGAACATCAGTAAAGCTTTCTGTATTTTTGTTTTAGAGTTCAGTGGTTCCCTAATTTCTAATAATTGAAGAACTCTTTTTAGGAATTACTAGGGAATTACTATGTGAAAAGTTTATTCACTTTTCAGAAAACACTCTTTTCAGATGTGTAATACCAATAATTGCATACCTTCTTAGAAGCCTACTTTACTTGCTTTGTCAAGTTAGGAATTGGCTAAAGAAAAGAAGTCTTCTTCCAAAATTCAAAATATTGCTTATTTTAGGCCTGTCCCCAAATTATGGTACACTCTGTACTAGTGACCCAGCAATAAAGTGAATCATTATTCCCATCATCCCAATAAGCGTCCAACATTGCCTTCCTTTCTAACCATTTACTTGTTTGTGGCTGTGTGATTGTAGTTTTAGGAAAAACGTAGTCTTTTTAAAAGACAAGGTTGCAAACCAATGCTAAATTTTTACTCTTGGGCCTCAAATACTTTTCTATAATTAAAACTCCATGATCATCCTGTCTGTTGGTGCTGTAAATGGTGCTATTTGGCTTGATTGAAATCCATAATCTTTTTGCAAGAAGGAATGCCATTTATTCTTTCCAGACTAAGGTGGTGTTCCCATGGAAATTGTCCAATGGAAAAGAAAAGAACTATCCTTAATGTTTCTTGATTTTTTTTCTCTCAGGCCCCTTCTCATTTTTAAAAAGTATGGAGGACCTCAAAATAACTTTTCTTTCTATGGGTTGTATTTATCAATATTTACTATATTAAAATTTAAAACTGACACATTTGCTGCCACTGCCACTTCTCACTTTGGTGGGCATTATTTTTCAACATAAGCTGGCAAATAGTTTTGATGGGTTTGAGAGAATCTTGGGAGACTCTCAGGGTCCTAACACCATACTTTTAAGAAATATTATTTTCATTTGCTGGCAGAAATGATTTCATAACCACTTTAAAGGCCCATATCTTTAAAGATCCTGGGGCACCGAGGAACTACCAGAGGACTGGAAAAGAACTTATGTAGTTCCCATCTTCAAAAAAAAAGGGGGGGGGAATGGGTCAAATAAGCATGCAATTTAACAGCCATTTATCTGAAATGGGTCTCCTACTTGAGTAGGGGATTGGACTACACGACCTCCAAGGTCCCTTTCAACTCTTACTGTTCTAGAGGGAAGAGCCCTGTACCTATATCTGCAATGTGCAGAGTTAATCAGACATATAGCAGTACAGACTTGAAAAAGTCAAGATGAAAACAGGAGCTATGTAATAAAATCTCACCTCTTTTTCTAAAAAAGAAAAGTAGGGAAGTTATTACTATACCTAAATCCATTCTGAGATTAACATTGTTTTAATTGGTACATGACTAATAATAATAATTATAGTACCAATGATATTCTAGTATTGTTAAGTAATTATTTTACCCTGCTTTTTCTCAGGAAACAAGAAACAAGTACCCAATATTCTCTGAGTTTAAAAATTAAGATTAGTTAATACTTGGGAAGAAAATCACTAGGCCATTTCCAATTTAAAATTCTCTCTCTCTCTCTCTCTCTCTCTCTCTCTCTCTCTCTCTCTCTCTGTGTGTGTGTGTGTGTGTGTGTGTGTGTGTGTGTGTGTGTGTCCTAGAACAAGACAGCAGCAAGAAAACTGATCCTTTAATAGCAGTATTGCTACCTATTCCTGATGCTGGTGTTTCATTGATACCAAATCTGAGAGAGGGAGATACACAGGAAAAGATTCCCACATATCATACATTATTAGGCAAGATTGCCTCTTGATTATATATGTGATTAATGAGGATACATCACATTTGACATTTGTAACCACTTTTTAAATAAATAATTCTATTAATAACTAATTTTGTTGGAATTATCTAGTAATTTGTACAGAATGCATGGATATCATTAACAATCTCTTTTAAGCATTGTCAAAACAAATTAGGCAGGAGGAATTATAGAAAAATTAATAATTATGTACATTGACATATGCAGTAATAATACAAGGCTAACACAATGAATTTGTTTCGAATTAGATTTAGGGCATTGTAAAATGTGATAGCATAGATTGTGGATTTATTACCAGAATCATGCATAGATAATAACTCTTGCCTAATCCCATATGTGGATCTAAGAAAGTTCTATTTCTTTTTTAAACTTAATCCAAAATTAATAGTGTCACTCTGAACTTCTTGTTCAAAAGTTGTGTTTATTATAATATCTGATATTTTAGAAAACTAAATAATTAGGAATAGATGTCTGGCTATTCCCTACAGACGACCAGAAATAAAAAGTATGCTTCTATTCCACTAACTTAAATTTCAGTATTACGGATACTGGAAGGAAGAAGAAAGGAAAATAATCAAAATAATGTTACCGGAGACTAGTAACTCACATTAATTTAATTCCGTTTAGCCATAAAGATTCAATAGAACTGTTGATAAGGAAAAGAAAATGATACTATGAGAACTCAAATGTGAGATCTGCCATCAAACGTATTGAGATTATAAACCACATCCATTCTTGGATCTGCCCTACAGTTTCTGCATGATGCAAACTTCAAAGCACTATCATTGTTTGTAAATAAATAGCACAAATACAAATATCCTTACAAAATCTTAAAGCTCTCAGAAAAAAAGATCTTTCTCCCCACTCAGATAAAGTTCATTTGCAAATAAAGGTGGTCTGTCATGAATGAAGGCAAATATACATGTCCCAGGATAAAGTTGCAGGATACAATCTGGGTCATTCACTGGGCCTAGAAGACTTTTAGTCTTCCAAATACTTAGTCTTCTAAGTATAAGGTGACCAGATTTTAACATTGGTAAAGAGGGACATTGTGGGCGTGGCTTATTTTGTGGGCGTGGCTAGCTGGTCATGTGACTGGGTGGGCATGGCTAGCTGGTCATGTGACCGGGTGGCCATGGCTATGTGTATAGGGTAAGGTGAACAGATTTTAACATTGGTAAGAAGGACACCATTGTGGGCGTGGCTTATTGTGTGGGCGTGGCTTGGAGGCCATGTGACTGGGTGGGCGTGGCTAGCTGGTCATGTGACCCGGTGGCCATGGCTATGTGTATAGGGACTACTCAGAGGGCTGAAAAGTCATTTCTGACAGGTCCTCACACTTTTGACTGGTCCTCACACTTATGACCATCCTCACATTTATGCCCGTGCAGCATTCTTAACAACCATGTCACTCATTTCACAACTGCTTCTCTCACCATGGTGACAAGATAGGGCAAAAATGTAAAATGTGAGGACAGTCGTAAGTTCAAGGACTGGTCAAAAGTGTGAGGACCAGTCAAAAATAACTTTTTCAGCCCTCTGAGTAGTCCATACGCACAAAAGGACTAACCAGAGGGCTGAAAAAAGTCATTTCTGACAGGTCCTCGCACTTTTGACTGGTCCTCACACTTATGACCATCCTCACATTTATGCCCATGCAGCATTCTTAACAACCATGTCACTCATTTCACAACTGCTTCTCTTCACCATGGTGACAAGATAGGGCAAAAATGTAAAATGTGAGGACAGTCGTAAGTTCAAGGACTGGTAAAAGTGTGAGGACCAGTCAAAAATAACTTTTTCAGCCCTCTGAGTAATCCATATGCATAAAAGGATACAGTAATAGAGAGGGATGAAGGAAGGGAAGGGAAATTAGAATAGGAGTGACAGTAAGAGAGGGAGGAAGAGAGGAGGAGAAGGAGAAAGGAAGAGGAAATAGGAGAAGAAGAGGGTGGGGGGAAGAGAAAGTAAGAAAGAAAGAAAAGAGAGGTGGTAGGTTTGAGGAGAAAGATTGCTGTACAATAAAAAAGATGAAAGGGAAGAAAGCCAACCCCAAACAAATATAAAGATATTAAGATAAAGAATGAATTGTTAAACTTTAAAGAATAAAAGAGAACAAATATGAATAAATAGCAATAATTAGAAACACACATACAAACATACAATGTATTTTCTTTGAACAGAATATTTGGCTGGTTCACAAATTTAAACAGTGTTTAGTCATTTCAATTAAATTTACAATTTCTATATTTCCTTTTTGCCATATTTATTCCTCATCTATTTTTTTAAAAAAACAATATTACCCTTCATCCTCATCTCTAATCTTAATCAAATTCAATTTTTCCCTTCTATTCTATATTATACCCCTTCCCATTGTCATCTATTTTTATATCCATCCTCACATTGGTTAATTATGTAATTATGTAATACAGTTGTTTAATACAAATTCAACATTTTAATATAAATCAATTAGTTATATAACTATCTTTTTGTATATTAATCAATATGAACATGAATATTCCAATTATTTCCATGCAATCCAATTTCTTACAAATCAATTAATTATATTTACCAATAATAATAAACCAAATAATTTCCCCCATATATTCCTCCAAACCACAACTTAACCATTTCTGCTTTCAACACAGTATACAATTAATAGTATCTCAATTATTACAATTCCCTAGTTAAAAAGACCTTTTTTTTCTTTTGTGTTTTAAAATCTTGAATCTAAAATCTTGAATGTTGAATTCATACTGGCGGGCTTCTCATGAGGATTCCAGTTTAGAAAAAACACAGGACAAGTGTTTTCTCGGGATGAGAGAGCAACAAACAAACAGCTACTATCTCTTTTATTAGTTACCAAAATACAGCGTCATCAGAAGGCGTTATTATTACTACACATCTCATATTACGTACAAGGGATGGGAAAACAATAGTAAGGATGCAAAGCGGAACTTTAACTCTGGCTTTATACAATTCTCAGATATTATTAGGCGAGAGGCCCATCTCCGTTATCTGATTCTCAGGAATATGATTCTCAGGAAGGAGATAAGAGATATTTTTACTTTGTATCTCAGGATGTTTATACAAGGAGATATCTTTGCTTTTGCAGGCACATCCTATGTTAAAAACAATGAGAGAATGAATAGGGCCCTTCATATAGTATCCATGTGAACCCGCTTTTCATTGTCTGGTTATTTCGGTGCTAAGCTCCATACAAGTGTCCAACCAGTTAAACTGGTCTATACATGTACTATGGCCACCGCATTCCCACATTTCCTCTGTTTTTGTTTTTTGCAACAGGGTTCAGCTGTGTTGTTATTATGATGTTCTCTTTATGCCTGGGAAACATGCCTATCATCATAGCAAACAAAGCAGGAATATATTGAATACTACAACATACAGAAATAAGCAAAGCAATGATCATGAGTACAGTAGACAATATGTTCTTCAGCCATCTGGTTTCTGCAAATGTTTTTAGCTCACCCATCCTTTTATTATGGTGAACAAAGTTAGTGGAAAAGTGGCCAGGAGATGTCAAGTGAGGTAGGCCATCAAGTTTCTGAGTTGTACATTTCCACAAATCACTCACACAAATTGTAAATCCATCCGAATCCAGACACCCAAGAAAACCACATGTCAGGAGTTTGTAACCTCTGAGTTATCTTGGAAGCCCTATCTTGCAAGTCCCGAGCACCTCCTCTGACCACACCTGATTTGTTCCTCCAGTTCCAGAAGGGCTTTGGTTTCACTTTTCAGGACGTCCTTCCTATTGGAGGGAATAAAACCTTTGCACATTTGCAGAAGGGAGGGGAGACATTGGATGCAGCAACAAAGCAAAACAAACAGTACAATTATAGATACAATATTTGGCATAATTGATTTCAACCAAGAATCATCCAGGAGCCATGACCAAAGAGCAGTCCAGGTGTCAATGGCGCCAGATCCATTGGATGATAAGGGATTGTTTTTTGATCAAGTTTTCCATATGTTCTATGGTGTGACTGATGTTATACTGATAATCAGATACATAGGTACAACAACATGAATGTATAAGGGCACAATTGCCTCCTTTAGCTAAGGCATATCGGTTTTGTAAGACTACCTCTCTGATGTCAGCCAGTTCTTTATTCATCAGCTTCAGCACCTTGATAGTCTCGTTGAACATATATACTGTCCAGTTATTTAATAAATGAAGATCCCAATAGTTCATTGCCACCCGAGATTGGGCCTCTGGATATCTGAGTTTTTAATGAGCCACCCAGTGTCAGTGATGGGTGTGGTTTAGGAAATAGGAGTAGTGGAGTTTGTCCAATTAGCAGCTATTTGAATGTCTTTTATTACTGTCCCATCATGATTGAATGTAGAGGCTGCTGACATGAAGGATCATGAGATGTAGGGGCAATAGATGCAAGATCGTGACTTAATTCCAGAATCCATGATATATAATCTCCTCTATGCAATTGTTACAGAGGCCCATTGTTCTTATTCACTCCCCCCTCAGCTGGAAATGTCAATATGGGAACCTTAGGTGTTGGAGTAGACTTAAGTAGAAAGTAAGGACCTTGTGCATAGACAATGCGTTTGTGGCAGGAGCGTTCTTACATGGTCACTTGAGAGTCCCAAAGCTAACAATGTAGTCACTTATACGTGTGAAACAAAATTACTAGCAAAATCAGAAAAACAATTCTACTAACATTAGTATGTATAAGAAAGTGTTAAAATGTATATGTACAATGTGAAGTTTCCTCCTGATGAATCTTTCGCTGTGCGCAGGGGACCAACTTCCGGTGTAGTCCTGCAAAGCTGATGGTCACCACCTTGCGTTAAGAGTCTGTTGCCGGGAGGACTCAGCAAGATGTTTTTTCTCTTAAATCTCAGCACCAGGGGTTTCTCCTTCTTTTTGTTGTAAATGAAATGGTCTTATGTGTCTTTTGGGGATCCAAATGATGCGATCATTGTCCTGGACAGCAGCATATCCATGGCCCCAGGTAATAAGGTCAGCAGGTCCTCTCCATGCAGGATCAGGTAGTTGGTGGAAATAGACCTTCGGTTTTAGGGCAGCTGATGGATAAGCAGAAAAATGACGGGTCGCAGCCGATGTGGGAGGCTGTCCAGTCAGGTTAAGAAAGTTCAAAGTATATAAACAAAGGTTGAGTTTGTTTTGCATGGCTGGGAGGCCGAGGCATTTTTCCTCTTTCAATTTTATAAGCCAAATTTATGTGTGATGGACCACTTGTTACAAAAGTCTGCAAAGGCAGTACTGGTGTAGTAGATCCATTGTCAGTTTTAATTTCAATTGGGCGTCCCATCGATGCAGAAGTCCGAATACAATGATTTATTACATGTTTGGTTGCTTCCTCCCTTTTTTGGGAATGCCAATAATTAGTCCTGAATAAGTATCCAAGGAAACATGCAAATATTTCCATGGGGCAAAGGAAAGGTATTGAGTCACATCCATTTGCCAAATTTCACAAGCTTTTTAGAACTCTAGGGTTACACCCATAGGGATAGAATGAGCTTGTTGACTACAGGTAGGACATTGTTGTATGATGGCAGTCACTTCAGCTGCCGTGAGACCAAATTGTTTCGCCAATGCTTTTTTATTTTGATGAAAATAGGCATGACTGTCCTATGGTGTGATGGAAGATATAACCATGAGCGCAGTTGCAGCTTTGTCATTTCCCTCTTCCAATCTCTGTCTCCGCTACCCACAATATCTATAACCTTCCAATAAACAAATCTCCTTATAACACTAAACATTCAAGTCCTTCTCTCACTGCCATTCTGACTTCCAAGCCAGCCCGTCTGTGCAAACCAACTTTTTCTTAAACAATTCAACTCCTTCTTACATTCCCTGTAACACTGGGTTCTTTGCATACCAGTCTTTATTCAAAATAGCACAATTATCTATTCACAGCCTACAATATCCAGTCAATCCTAAAAATTTCCTCAACTCTTCAGGTGTTATCTTCTGTCATTAATTAAATGTCCTATGTATTTTATCTCTCTTTCTACATATTGTAACTTCTAACTCATCTCTGTGATAATTCCAAACAAACAAACAAATAAACAAACAACAGACAAACAAAGAACAAACATGCCATCTGTTAAGTATGCAAAATGCACGTAGACATAAAAACATTAAGGAGTATTTTGAGTCAATGCTCTGAAATAGAATTGGGTATGAAAGTATTTAAAACGTCAAAAATGTTCAGAAGGAAAAAAATCAAAATTGCATTCTGAGCCGTTCAGTGCTCTGCAAAGGCAGGTATCAGATATCACCCTTTCACTCCCGCCTTTCTCTGGCTCGTTCTCTGAGAGAAAAAAAAATGGTTAAAAGTACAAAGTAGCCCCCCCCCCCCTTTCGTGCCTCTCATCTCCCAGGGAAAAAAGGGAGGGGGTGAGGGAAAGGAAAAAAAAAATTTAAAACAGACCAAGCCTCCCTTCTCTTCGGAGGGCAGGGAGAGAAAAGAAAAAAGGTGCTTATACACAAAATTACATTTCATGCAATCCAATACACACCCATTCACATCTGTACTGCAATCAGACCTTTTGTATAATACATCCTTCATGCGAATCAGTCATTCAAATTATTTCAATGAACTAGTTTATTCCCAAAACAGTGAAAAAATTCAGGCAACAGTCATAATCACAAAAAGTGATATGGGCCCATAACCATTGCCCGGTTTTCCACAGTTTCAAGTTCAAACCCAGTCAATTTTTGCTGGCCAGCCAAGCATATCAATTCCACACACTATCATTATAGATGCACATCAACAAAATATTTTTAACAGAAATCACTTCAAGTTGATTAGTTCAAATTATCTGAGTCTTCCCATTTAGACAGGCTCTAATTTTATTTCCTGCTAAACCCCGGGTGGGAAGAACAATAAACAATTTATTTATTTATTTATTTATTTTTTCAGCCTGAGAAACATACTGAGAGTCAGAGATCAAATTAAAAGCTTGTTGAGAAAAAGTGTGAAAGCTAAGATAGTCGCAGACAATTAGTGTAAGATTCTTTCCAGATGTCGTCATGAGTATCCTTGTAAGCAATGGCTCCTCTGGAGAAAATCATTAAGCAAGTAAACCTAGGATCTTTAGGCAAATGATATGAAATACAGTTTACATAGTCAGTTAGAGCACACTGAAGAGATGAATCATTCCGAAGACAAAAGTAAAAGTCAGATTTTGAGATAGAAAGAATAATATTTATTAGATCAGTTCCATTTCTTCGACAGTCTGGATTACGTCCCAAGGTTATAATTTCAGCAATAGCTTAAATAAAGGGTAAAATATTTTTAGATGGTAATGAGACAAATAAAGCAATGTACTTTTTGCTGTTCTAAAACAGAATTAAATCTCCTGGCTTTTTCTTTTAGTCAATAACTCAAATAATGGACTAAGTAAATGCATAGGTAAAGAGAAATATGAGCAGTCCCAATTAATAGTACCCAGTAATTGTTGCAAATTTAACTTTGGATAACTTTAAAAGCCGGAGCAGAAAGAGATTGCACATACAGATAAGGAGCTGTATTTTCTCTGGGGCAATGTGCAATTCATTTACACATAAATCATTTTGTATTTTCAAAAAGCCAATTAGGTTGTATTTTTTGTGCTCCAATTTAAATGTCATCTATACGATGATCCTGACACACTTTAATCATATCTGCCAAATTAAGATTTTTTCCCAGCCCAACAATAGCTTTTAAGTGGTGTTGTTTTTTAGTTTTCTTTCTTTATGTTAGAGAAGGCTTGTTGACGCTTGCCAGAAACAAGCATTTTTCTGAAGGCTTGTTAAGCACATTCAGAAGAAGCTTGCAAAATTGCAGCCGGCAGACACACTGAAAGCATTTCAGCAATTTATTCTATCCATCCCCCCTTTTTTGTCTAACTGTTCCTTTAAATTCTGCTTAATGGGGGTGTAACTGACTCCTTCAGAATGAGCTGATGCTTAATTTCATGCCGTGCGTCTGCGTGGGTGATTTAACGTGAGAGCAATCTCTCAACAAAGTCTGAAAAGGAACTATTAACAGTGTCCTGAAGGCTTTTATTTATTTATTTTTTAATGTATCATAAAACACTCTATAACTAATCTCCAGAGTGCAAAAAATTTTTCAGGGCTGGGGAGGTTTGTGGAGGCATGTTCCCATCTGCTTCCACATATTCACTTTTAAAGAGCCCTTTTATTGCCAAAAGTTTTTTAGAAGGTAAATCAAATTCTTTTCATGGGCAGGACTTTCCCGTTATCTTTTTAAAAACAATAATATTAGTCTTGGATATCTCACCAAGCTCCTCAGATACTGCGTCTGCTGCTTGGAAAGACCTCCCCCCCATACTCACGAAAGATTGTCGCCGTGTTTCAGGCTAAATCGTGGTGCACAGCCTCTTCCAGGCGGTGAGAACAGGGGTTCCAAGAGACGTATAGCCTCAAGGGCTATCATGTCGGGGTACCTGGCAATTCTGCGTCCATACTCACGATTTATGGGAGGGTGCTTCGTCCGCAGACGACCGGCCCTGGTTTGCAGAGGCTTCTTCCAGCCGAATGAGTATGAAATTACCAAGAGACATATAGCACCAAGCAGGGTAATCACGTCGGGGTCACCAGATGTTGAATTCATACTGGCGGGCTTCTCATGAGGATTCCAGTTTAGAAAAAACACAGGACAAGTGTTTTCTCGGGATGAGAGAGCAACAAACAAACAGCTACTATCTCTTTTATTAGTTACCAAAATACAGCGTCATCAGAAGGCGTTATTATTACTACACATCTCATATTACGTACAAGGGATGGGAAAACAATAGTAAGGATGCAAAGCGGAACTTTAACTCTGGCTTTATACAATTCTCAGATATTATTAGGCGAGAGGCCCATCTCCGTTATCTGATTCTCAGGAATGTGATTCTCAGGAAGGAGATAAGAGATATTTTTACTTTGTATCTCAGGATGTTTATACAAGGAGATATCTTTGCTTTTGCAGGCACATCCTATGTTAAAAACAATGAGAGAATGAATAGGGCCCTTCATATAGTATCCATGTGAACCCGCTTTTCATTGTCTGGTTATTTCGGTGCTAAGCTCCATACAAGTGTCCAACCAGTTAAACTGGTCTATACATGTACTATGGCCACCGCATTCCCACACTTGAATTTAAAATCTCTTTTGCCCTAAATAATTTCCCATTGTTTGCACCTACCTTTTTTGGTGAGGAAAAGGAAAATAAATCTGCTGCCTAATTTTCCAACGTTGCAAGCAAACAGCAAAGCCAACAGCCTGTTTTACTTTCAGTTTCGTTTTGAGCTTGGTTTGCACAAAGAGAAAAAAAAACTGCTGAGCAATTTAGCGAGAGCAGAGCCCTGAGCAAATCATCTGAGAGGGGGAAGCCGAGCTAATCAACGTAGGGCGGCCCTTTGAAGCCCCGCGGCAAGAGTTTAAACAGGTTTTTTCCCTCTAGCCATCAGCGGGGACTCAGGAGGCAGCCGGGACTCAGGAGGCAGAATGAAAAATCGGGACTTTTTTAAAACGCCGCGGGACGCGGGACAAATTGCTCAAAAGTGGGACGTCTGGTCACCTTATCTAAGTACCAAGTACAGCCTCTTAGGAGCCTAAGACTTGGCAGCACAAGGAAACAATGACTTAATAGCCATCCATCAATCCCCCAACCAACCAATAAAAAGCTACACTCTACCAGGCACCATATAAATACTGTGCATGGAACAGCCCAGAGCATACATTCTTTGAAAAGACAGAAGTTCCCAATGGATGGGCTCCAGCACGAGCCCAAAAATTCAGAAGACTAAATCTCTGGTCCCGATGACTGATCCAGATTGGATCCTAAAGTTGTTCTGTCTTTGTGACCATTTTATTTCTCATGGTATCATTAAAACTGCCCAGTATATCATCGGACTCCAGCTACTAGCCCTGGACGACATCTTCGAATCTCGCTGTTTTGAGAAAGTTGCATAACATTCTCAGAGACTTTTTGGACTGTTGCCTTCTGGCAGAAGATACAGAACAATTAAAACTCGGACCACACGTTTTCTGAATAGTTTTATCCCAGAGCTGTAATTGCACTCAACAATGAACTAAAGGGCCATCATCAGTGAGCAGTTGGACAGTAATTCTTGGTCTGTTGTGTGGATGTTTGGGTGGTTTAGGGGTGGGGAATTGTGGTGGGTGGGAATGTGTTTGGGGATTGTTATGTGTGTTGGAGCTGGTCTTTGGGTGTTAAGTGAATTTTGTTGTATGGGTATACTGTGTATACAAGTACAATGACAATAAAGTTATTATTACAGACTATCCACCATGTATTTTTACCTACCTCTCAACTTGAATTTCAATCAGTCCATTCTGGGAAAAGCCTAAATTCTGGTCTTCCTAATAGAGTACTATGGAGAAAAGGTTTAATTACTTTATTTATTTATTTATTTATTTATTTATTTATTTATTTATTTATTTTATTTTATTTCTATACCGCCTTTCTCCCGTAGGAGTCAAGGCGGTGTACAGTCAAGAAAAATATAGACACACAAACATCATAAAATTGCTAATTAAAATTATTACTTAGTTTGGTCAATTAAATAAAACCCAGAATTAGATAACATTTAAAAAATCATTCACATGTTCATATGTTTAGCCCCACCTGTTGGAACATCAGGGTCTTGAGGGCACGGCGGAAAGCACGGAGATCAGGGATATTCCGTATCTCCGGGGGCAGTTCATTCCAAAGGGTTGGAGCCCCCACAGAGAAGGCCCTCCCCCTGGGAGTCACCAGTCGACATAATTTGACTGACGGTACCCTGAATAGTCCCTCCCTGTGAGAACGAACTGGTCGGTGGTGGCAAAAGACGGTCTCGTAGGTACCCAGGTCCTAAGCCATGGAGCGCTTTAAAGGTGATAACTAACACCTTGAATCGCACCCGGAAGACCACTGGGAGCCAGTGCCGCTCGCGTAGGAGAGGTGTTACATGGGCATAACGAGGTGCGCCCATAATCACCCACGCGGCTACGTTCTGGACCAGTTGGAGCCTCCGGGTGCTTTTCAAGGGGAGCCCCATGTAGAGAGCATTACAGTAGTCCATAACGGAGGTAACTAGGGCATGAGTGACCGTGCGCAAGGCGTCCCGATCCAGAAAGAGACGCAACTGGCGGATCAGGTGAACCTGATAAAAGGCACCCCTGGCCACGGCCGTCAAATGATCTTCTAAAGATAACCGTGAATCCAGGAGGACACCCAAGTTGCGGGCCCTCTCTGTGGGGAGCAAGATCTCATCCCCTATTTTCAGTGATGGTACTAGCTGATTATACTGGGACACCGGAAGCCACAGCCACTCGGTCTTGGAGGGGTTGAGTCTGAGCTTGTTTCTCCCCATCCAGATCCGCATGGCCTCCAGGCAACGGGACATCACAGCAAGGGCATCATTGGGGTGGTCTGGGGTGGAGATGTATAGCTGTGTGTCATCAGCATACTGATGAACACTTACCCCGAAACCACGGATGATCTCGCCTAGCGGTTTTACATAAATGTTGAACAGAAGGGGTGAGAGGACTGACCCTTGCGGCACCCCACAAATAAGGTGCCTCGAGGTCGACCTCTGCCCTCCTGCCAACACAAACTGCGAACGGTCAGAGAGGAAGGAGGAGAACTACCGAAGCACGGTGCCCCCTATTCCTAACCCCTCCAGCCGGTGCAGTAAGATACCATGGTCGATGGTATCAAAAGCCGCTGAGAGATCTAATAGGACCAGGATAGAGGAGCAACCTCTGTCCCGAGCCCTCCAGAGATCATCCACCAATGCGACCAATGCCGTTTCCGTGCTGTATCATGACCTGAAGCCCGACTGGAATGGATCCAGATAGACAACTTCATCCAGGTATCGGGGTAGTTGTCGTGCCACCACACTCTCAACAACCTTCGCAACAAAGCGAAGATTGGAGACTGGACAATAATTTGATAATATAGCTGGGTCCAGGGAAGGCTTCTTGAGGAGGGGCTTCACAACCGCCTCTTTCAAGGTGGCGGGAAAGACACCCTCACTCAGAGAAGCATTTATAATCCCGAAGCCAGCCTCGTGTAACCTCCCGGGAGGCCAGTACCAACCAGGAGGGACACGGGTCCAATAAACATGTGGCAGCGTTAAGCTTGCCCAGAATCCTGTCCACGTCCTCAGGAGCCACAGAGTCAAACTCTTCCCAGATAACGCTCTCAAGATCTGCCCCCGTCTCCTCCCCTGGCTCTACCCAATCGGAGTCCAGGCCTTCCCGAATCTGAGTGACTTTATCATGCAGGAATTGTACAAAATCCTCAGCTCAACCCTTTAAGGGAACTTCCCGTACCCCCACCTGAAGTAGGGAGCGGGTCACCCTAAACAGCACAGCTGGGCGGTTCTCTGCAGATGCAATAAGAGCGGAGAAGTAGCTAGACTTCGCCGTTCTTATCACCACTAGGTAGGTCTTAATATAAGATCTCATCTGTGTTCGGTCAGATTCAGATTGGCTGTCCTCCAGTCGCTGTCCAGGTGTCTTTTCCAACGCTTCATCTCTCTCAGCTCCTCGGAAAACCAAGGAGCTAGACGAGATCGGCATCGGGTCAGAGGCCACAAAGGCACAACGCGGTCCAAGGCCCCAGTAGCCGCCCTGTCCCAGGCGACCACCAGGTCCTCAGTCGAGTTGTGAGCCCGAGTCTCAGGAAATGGCCCAAGCTCCATCAGGAACCTTTCGGGGTCCATCAGGCGCCTGGGACGGAACCATTTGGTTGGTTCCGTCTCCCTGCGGTGGGTGGAAGTGACTTGAAAGTCCATGTGAAGGAGAGAATGATCAGACCATGACAAGGGCTTGATGTCTATATCCCCTATTCTTAGATCATTCAGCCACTGATCAGAGACAAAAATCAAGTCCAGAGTGTGATTCCCCAAGTGGGTGGGGCCTTGAACTACCTGGGTCAGGTCCATGGCCGTCATGGAAGCCATGAACTCCCGAGCCATCTCCGATATCTCACCAGCGGATGGCAGGTTAAAATCCCCCATAACAATAAGTCTGGGGGTTTCCACCGCCACCCCGGTTATAATGTCGAGCAGCTCAGGCAGGACCGCTGTTACGTGGCAGGGAGCCAGGTACGCAATCAGTAGGCCCATCTGAATCCCCTGACCCCACTTCACAAGGAGGGACTCACATCCGGCTATCTGAGGAACAGTGGCCTCCCTCAGGCAAAGACTTTCTCTAATGATTGCTGCCACTCCCCCACCCCTTCCCTGAGTCCTTGGCTGATGGAATGCACGGAAACCTGGCGGGCACATTTCCACAAGGGGAACTCCTCCCTCCTGGCCTAACCAGGTCTCCGTAATCCCTGCCAGGTCAGCACCCCCCTCTGAAATAAGATCATGAATGAGGGGGGCTTTATTTTCCACTGACCTGGCAGGGTTAATATTAATGAATATTAATATTAATGAATTTACTGATCATTATACAAATAAACTCTCTGTTGCAATCATAGCATGCAATATCATGTTAAATAGATCCTTCCTTTTGTATAGCTTTATACCCAATTTGCAGAGCTTGTTAGTTTATCATGATGAATGGACAACATCTTGTTATAGGCCATATATACTGGGATTTATTTACATAGCAGATGTCCATTACTTATTTCTGAACAGTCATTGATTGAAACCATTCAATTCCTTGATTCTGAATACTCATAGAAGTAGAATCAGATGTAATAATTATGTCAGTATATTATAAAACTGATATTTCTTTAAAGTACCTATGCAGGGTATCACACCCTATAAATCTTGTGCTGCCTCTTTTAAACAGTGGTGTATTTCTGAAAGGAATGAACAAAGAACATTGGAAGTGTATGCCAAAGTATATACACTAGCAGGATCACCCAAGGTTATCCCAACTGCCAGTTAAAGCACCTTTATAGGAGGATGCTGAATGTGGATGACTATGGCGAGGACATCATTTCATAATGCACAGGAGAAGGCAATGGTAAACCATTCCTGAGTTTTAGCAAGAAAACCATATGGATAGATAAAATAGTGACTGGTGATGTGTTGCCAGATGATATACTCTCAGGTAGATGACACTGAAGCAAAGTAATAGTGTTTATGATACAGTTAAATTATTATTTTTTTAGACATCTAGGTGTCACTATGCAGAAAATCTGAAAGTGCAAAAACAAAAATTGAGTGAGAACTTGGAATATAAGAAACATAAACATGGAAATGAATGTTTCATCTTTCAACAAAATAAAAGATGAAACAAATTGACAACACACTGACATGTTAGGCATCAAAATACTTACTAATCAACAAACAAAAAGAAGAAAAAATGTTGCTTTCATAATCACAAAAAATATAAGAACAGTGCTCTGATACAATGCAGTCAGAGGCTAAATAATATAAATTAGCTTTGTGAACAGTCTTTTAATTTAATTACCCAAGTTTATGCTCCAACTACACTGCAGAAGAAGAAGAAATTGGTGAGTTTTATGGTTAAATTCAAGGGAAAATTGATAAAACATGCAAGCAAGCTAAGGAATCCAAAATTGGAAATATTAAGAAGGAAAATATAGTTGGACTGCATAGTCTAGGAAAGAAAAATGAAGCAGGAGAATTACTTATTTCTGCTAATTCAAAGACTTTTCATTGTTTCCAGAACTGGAAGATAAATTTATATCAGCATTTCAGGTCATTATCAAGCTGGAAATCAATAGAAAATAATGGAATGTATACAGAAATATGGCAAACAATTGAGGAATAATTGGTAAAGGTTTTTACTAAACTGCCAACCATTTGGAGAACACCGTAGTCAACAGATTGGAAGAAGTAACTCTACATTGATATGCCAATAAAGAATACTATACAGAGTGTGGAAAAATTTGAATAGTATTCTTAATTTCACAACCTAGCAAAATAATAATGAGGATCATCTATTGAAGATTAGAACTCTTAGATGGAAAATTTCAAGGTGATTCTAAAAGGGATTAAGAACAAGAATGTATGTATACTTTATATTTGAGAAACCAAAAAATACTACAAATATGTCAGGATGTGCTTTATTAATTATAAAAAGGCCTTTGATTGTGGAAAACATGTCAAGCTGTGGAATGGTTAGGAAAATATTCATTTTCCAGAACATTTTCATCATATATCATTCCAAATCTGTAATGATAATATTCTGATAATTGAAAATCAGAGTGAATAATCTACAATCACTACTACTAAGTCAAGGAGGATAAGATTAAATATAAAGAGACTAGGTTAATCACAAAAGCTATGGTAATCAGCCTTAAATTGGCATTGTCTTTTAGGATCAATTTAAGATTAAAGGAATTAGCAATCAAAAAATGCACTTCATTTTAGCAATGGCAGAGTAGCAATGAAAGCTTGGACAAAATATTTGGATACTGTGCTGTACCCACAAACATTCATGCAGGCAATATAAGTTAAAATTGGATTCTGAAGAAGCAAGTTAAAAGAATATTGGTGCTTTTGAACTTTGGTGTTGGAGAATATTCCTGAAAATATTATGGATAGCCAAAAACAAGTAAACAAATGAATCATTAAAATAAAATCTAGAGTTCTTACTGAAAGCATAAATGGCCAGGCTCAAATTATCATATTTTGGACACATTATTTGAAGATGTAGTTTCTTGGAGATAGTTATAATAGTTTTCTTAGAAGGAACTAGAGAGCTAGTGGACATTGGTTTGATTTGATTTTAATTTGATAGTAGACTGGGAGAGGTGAGTGGAAAGAAAAGAAGAGAATGACCAGCAGCAAGGTGGTAGGACTCAATTACAGCAACAATGAGCATGCCACTGGAAAATCTGAAGAACCAAGTTGGAGACAGCTTTTCCTGGAAAAACATCTATCTATATAGTTACTAAAAGTCTACTGATTTGATGGCATATTAGAATTTCTGAATTAGCTTCTGAATTAGAATAACTTTATTTTCACTTTGAATGTACACTAATCAGCATACATTAAAATGAAAGTTGATTGCAAAGGGTCACCACATCTAAAATACACTACATAAACATGACAAAATAAATAAATACAAAATTACGCATATATCTACATATATTATATGACACAGAAACAACAGAGTCTAGTTCGGATGTATACATGTACATGGCAAGAAAAACGAATCTTGTGAATTTACCAGATGGATGGCATAGGGAACAAACCTCTTACAGAATCTGGTAGTCCTGCTAGAAATGCTTCGAAATCTCCTCCCATTGGGGAACAACAGAAACAGATCATAAAGTGAGTGTGTGGGGTCTCTAACAATGCTTAGAGCTCTAAGCACATAGTGCATATAAACAGTATCCTGAATAACAGAAAGCAAGCTTCCTATAATCTTGGCTGTCCTTACCACTCTCTGTATGGACCTTTTATCTGAGGCACTGCTGCCACCAAACCAGTGATGCAGTTTGTTAAAATGCTTTCAATTGTGCCTCTGTAAAAAATGGCCAGGACAGAAGGAGAAAGATGTGCTTTCCTCATTCGACACAGGAAATGCAGATGCTGATTCGCACGCTTCACTAAGGATATCGTGTGGAGAGACCAATTCAGCTTGATAAATCAATACTGACTTGATGACATATGATAAATCAATGCAGAGAAAAGAAATGATAACTGCTCTGGTGACAAATTTTGGAGGTACTTATTCTCTTGTTTACTTCAGACTTGCCATGGAAGGAGATGAGTATACAATAGAACTATGCAATACTTTGGATTTGAGTAAGAAAGCTGCTTTAGAGCTTTCTTACTCAAAGGGTATAAATATATTTTCAAGTATTACAGAAGAGTGGTACATTCGCATGTAGGCTGAATCATCTGTTTAGAACTCCAGTCAGAAGTATTGTATTGCATTGCATTACTATTAAAACTGCAGAACTGACAGAAAAGAGGAAGCATGACAAAATCAGTAATAGACAAGAGCAAAAACAAAAACAAACCCACCTTGAACTTGTCCCTAAACAGTGCACCACTGATACACATAGCTATCTACCAAAAATATTATCAGAAAACATATTAAGATATTAAGAAAACCATCATGAGCAGGAAATTGCAGCTTTGCAGCAATTGTATTCAAAAACTCTGCAATTGCTAGATTATGATGGGGTGATTAGATGGCAGGGAAAAGGAAAAATTGCAAAAATTTAGAGGCCAGGCCTTTTCATAGCTGACAGTGATGGAATTAAAAGTATAAAGGAAAAGAAGCAGGAGCAAGAATCCAGAAACTTTGGTAAAAGAATGAAGCTGCTACAAAGAAAAGAAAAGGTGTTGTACAATAGATCCATGTAAATTTCCCCCTAGAATTAAACTATATGGAATTAATTTATGTCTCTCATGATATTCCATTATTATAAGTGGTATGTATGTATCATTTACAGTTATCACTTACCGATACTAATGAAGGCAGACAGTTTCATTCTCTGTCTACATCAAGATATACAATATACATTTTTTTACATTAGAAATACATTAGAACTCTTCCAAAATAGGCAGAGAGTACATGAATTGAATAAGTTTCATAAAATAGAGAAACTGAATGATCACATCCATAATACCAGTATTTATTATTTGTGATTATAAATTATGAACTTTCTGGCCATCTTTGAGAACAGGCTACCTGCAAATATAGTAAATAGATAAACAAGGGATGGCTGGGCAGGAAAAAGATGGATGGTTAAGAAATATGAATGAATGAATACAAACACACTAGAATGTCTTCTGCACAAGTCTGGTTCACACATTGAGCTAAGTCATAATACAACTTGATTTGTTTATCTTAATTAATCTAGGCATTGAATTTTCTCTCAAGTTGTAGAGTTATTTTGAAGCATATCAGTTCTTAGAGTCTTCCTAGCAGTTCGAAAGCATGCAAATGTGAATAGATAAATAGGTACCATTTCAGTGAGAAGTCAGTGCTGACCACATGATCCCAGAAAGTGTCCTCAGACAACCCTGGCTCCCTCAGCTAGGAGACGGAGACGAGCACATCCCCCTAGAGTTGGAAACAAATGAACAGGGAAAAAACCTTTACTTTTTCTCAGAGCACTGGTTTGGTCTTCTGAATCTCCTTATTGTTCTATAGGAATTCTAGAATGCCCACCATTGTCTCCGGTCACTCTGCACTGCACAGGAAATCAATGCTGATGATTTATCAAATATTTAAGCTTAGTTTTATTATATGTTACAGTATTAGACAGTTTAGACAGTTTTTCTAGACACCACTATTGCTTTTGTTAATTTTTAAAAAGCCTTTTAGAATGACAGAATAAACAATGCTCTGAACCTTCTTTGCACAGGACTTTTCACTTTGTCCCACTGATTTCTGCGAAAAGAGAACATAAAAGTATTCAAAAACATCAACAGGAGAATAAGGATATCAATGGCTAGTAATCACAATATTTATGAACTATCTCCAATATATTAAGGAAACACAATTGGCAGTTGCTACTGCATTTACGTCCCATTAATTAATTTTATATAGATATCATACTGGCCTGTAGGAAAACAGTATACTGGATTAAATATTCAGCATTCTTCTTATCTTCTGAATTATTAATTGTCATGTATTCTCATTGGATTGTTGTGCAATCAGAAATATAGAAAGTTTGCCTCATCATGCAGAAGCTGTCAATATCCTTCATGTACAAAATTTGATGAATACACTGCATTCACTTTTCTGTTTACTGGTTTGCTTTCCCTCTAGGCTGACATATTACAGTGTTTATATTTTAATCTTCCAAGTAAAACACTTTGAAAGTAAACCTATTAAGGTTAATAGAATGAGCTTGCAATGCCCATGGTTAGGAGAGGAGACACTCTGTAAATTGTTTACCAAACAGCTTGTCACCTGTAGCCATAAGGCTAAAGTCCTATCCATGAATCACTCTTATTATTTTTCTTGACATTAATTTTTAAAGTGCAGTGTTATTCAAATTTAAGCCACAAATGCCTGCTTTGTTATCTATTGTTATTACAACCGCCTTAAATGCATTAATAGGGAGATACTTATGCATAACATTAAAAAACTCTTCATGTGAAAGCATTCTGTTTTTTCTGTATGACGTCTGTATGATGTTTACTTAATATAATTAAATTGCTGGAGTTACATCTTTTAAAACAAGCAATTTGAAGAAAGCAGATAGGTGTTAATTTTTCAGTCTATTTCAAATAAATTACTGAATTCCCAGTAAAACAAAATCAACATTAGAATAAATGTTAGTGTGAAATTCAAAAACTTACAGTTGCCAGGTGTCCACTATTTGAGCGGACAGTCCGCTTTTTTCACATTATGTTCACTATTTTTTTTCACAAAATAGTGGACATTTTTTTTTATTCAAAAGCTTTATGATGAAATGGTACATAATCTAAAGCTAGATTATAAATTAAAGCTAGATTATAAGTTTCATAAATTAGAATGAGACAAAGATTGAATATCCATTGAACTCGATTCTCCGAAAAAAATAATGATGAGATTAAAATAAAAATATATTATAAAATTATGTACAGTTCACATTTTTAAAATGTATTGTAGCTTGTGTCGACTGACCTAAAATGGCGTCGAGTGATGAGAGTGACAGCGGCGAGATTTCGAATTCTTTAAAATGAAAGAGAGGAGTGTGCAAATACACCAAAGACTGGGAAGCTACTTTTGCATGGATTACCAACAACGAAACCGACAGAACAAATACGACGGCCTACTGTAAATTGTGTCAGAAATCGTTCACAATTGAATATAATGGTATAAAAGCTGTCACACAGCATGCAAGCACAAAAAATCATTTAGATAAGGAGAAAATAGCTTCCAGCAACAAGCGAATCAATTCGTTTTTCATTGTTAAAGACTCCTCTTTCAGTGAGAAAATGACTGTAGCTGAAATGGCTGAAACTTACCATGGGATCAAATACCATATTTCTTTGCTGGCTCAAGATTGCAGTATTAAGTTAATGAAGCAAATTTTTGATGATTCAGAAATTGTAAAAAAGAAGCTATTGTCAATGAGGTTTTGTATCCTTTTTCTATTGAGTTGGTTCTCAATGATCTTAAAACTGGAATTCCATTTTCTCTCTCCACTGACACATCAAACAAGGGAAATCGCAAAATGTATCCCGTTGTTGCACAATATTTTACTTTTGAAGAAGGACTGTGTGTGAAAATTTTAGACTTTTATGAGGATTCTTTTGAAGATTCTACATCAATAAAAAATCAGCTGTGTCGAGTTCTTAGTGACAACGAATTGGAAATAAATAATGTTTCAGCTTATTCAGCAGATAATGCATCGGTCAATTATGGAGTGAACAAATCTGTTTACCAAAAATTATTGCTGGAAAATGACAATATTGTAGCTGCTCATTGCAATAATCACATTTTACACAACAGCGCAAAAAATGCATTAAAGCAGTTATCTTTTGATATCGAAAATGTAGTGCTGAAGGTTTTTGCCGAATTTTCAAATTCTGCAAAGAAACGAGAAGAGTTGAAATCATTTTTTGAGTTTTGCGAGTCAGAATTCCATGAAGTTTTGCGCCATGTTCCAACACGTTGGTTAAGTTTGTTTAAAGCGGTTGAAAGACTTCTTTTAAACTGGATACCTCTAAAATCGTATTTTATTTCTCTTGGATCTGATGAGTACCATAAGGTTATCTGGAACCTTATTTCGGATCAGGAAAATGAACTCGCAAAGGACGATGAACCAACAATTTCAGAATTGTATTTATATTTCACGCACTTCTTCATGTCAATAATTTAATTTTAATTTAATTTAATTTCCAATTTATATACTGCCCTTCTCCCTGAGGACTCAGGGTGGTGTACAGCCAAGATAAAAAACATAGAATACAAATATTAAAAAAACATTTAAATATATATATAAATTTTGGCCCGAAAGTTAAGAAATCACAGACTGATTAAAAGAATTTAAAAATTTCTTCTTAAGCCAACCCGGCTTGCTGGAAAAGATGGGTTTTAAGGGAACGACGGAAGGCATTGAGGTCATGGATTCTCCTTATCTCCGGAGGCAACTGATTCCAGAGGGTGGGAGCCCCCACCGAGAAGGCCCTCCCCCTGGGGGTCACCAGCCTACATTGTTTGGCTGATGGCACCCTGAGGAGGCCCTCTCTGTGGGAGCACACGGGTCGATGGGAGGTCGTCGGTAGCAGCAGGCGGTCTCGCAGATAGCTAGGCCCTATGCCATGGAGCGCTTTAAAGGTGATAACCAACACCTTGAAGCGCACCTGGAAGACCACCGGGAGCCAGTGCAGCTCGCGCAGGAACGGTGTTACATGGGAGCGCCATGTTGCTCCCATCACTACCCGTGCTGCTGCATTCTGGACCAGCTAGAGCCTCCGGGTGCTCTTCAAGGGGAGCCCATTGCAGTAGTCAAGGCGAGAGGTGACAAGGGCATGAGTGACTGTGCACAAGACAGTATATAATGCAAGACACCCTACTGAAGCTGGAAAGCAAGAAAATTCTTGCATGTGATATTTACATTATCATGTGTAAGCTGCATGATTCTTTGCAAAAAAAATACAATGAGAAATTTTGGGAAATTTGTGGACTGACGAATATAACCGACTGCTTGTACCATCAGTTCGAAGTGAACTTTGTATATTTTTTACTATTTCTCAACGTTGTACTGAAATTAAAGAATTATTCCTTAAACACAAAGAATTGATCAAAGCTGCGCAGTCAAATAAAAAATACACACAACAGCAAAGTAAAATGTAATTTAATATTTTACATATTATTATAATATATTTGATGTTTTGAATTTTAAGTAAAGTTTTGAAGTGATTATTTTAATACGATTTTTTTACTACTTAACACCCCCCCCCCACTTGTCCGCTATTTTTTGGAAGCAGACCTGGCAACCCTAATAAAACTTACTTTTATTTTAAAAAAATAATGTTTTCATATTTAGCACATAATATGGATGATGCTATAATGGCCACAGAAAAGGGCTGCACTGAACTTTAAATCATAAACCACAAACCAAAATTAAGCAATCCACAATAGGTCTTACTACAGTGTGTAAACTCAGCCAGTATAGTGAGTGAGTGGCCGTGTGTATATTTTACCTGGTGGTGGAGAATAATTGAAATACTTCCATTTATGAAAGTTCTAATCCTTACCTTCTACCCCATCTTCCAATGACTTTTAAAATACCTTCAATATTTAAAGGTACTGAATATATTAAAAACCTGCTGGCAAATTTCAGATGTTTACTTTAAAATACTTCATTCTTAGCTCCCACAGCAATATAATCACATGGGGTATATTGTAAAATTATTCTTTAAAAAACCTTCTGCTTGCTGAAGGGTATACTAATATTTCCTAATTTAGACATTATCAGGATCTGGCAATGGTGGTGGTGAGGAGAGCCAACTGAGCAATCATTTTTCTCCTCGTCCTCCCCACTCAAGCAGTGGCAGGCCCTGCGGGATAGCAGGGCCTCTCATTTCTCCCCCGGCACAGTGAATTCCAGCTTTAGTTGGGGCATGCAAGCTGCTCGCAGCAGCAGCCACCTAAGCACCATGATTGTCACCTCCCCAACTGCCAGCCAGCCACGCCTGACCTGCTCCTGGCTGGCTGGCGCAAAGCTTTGCCATTCTTTTCCTCGTCTTCATCATTGTCCTCCTTGCCCAAGCAACAATAGGCTCCATGAGACAGGGTCTCATTCCTGTCCTGGTGCAGCAAACTCTGGTGGGCTAGATGTGAGTGTGAAGGGCCTGGCCCTGCAGTGCTTTGTCGTTCAGGTGAAGGATTCATTCAGCCTTCAAACAGTAAGGCTGGCACATGCAAGTGAGCAGCACACCAGGGCCACGGACGGTGTTGGTTCCTGCACCTGGCTGATTCCAATTCCACGGCCAGCCGTACTGTTTGAAGACTGAATGAAGCCTTCAACTGAGCAATGAAGCACTGCGGGGCCGGGCCCTTCACACTTCAACGTCGCCCACGGCACCACTCAGCTGGAGGAGTAAAGAAGCTCAGGGCAGTGGGAAAAGGAGGTTGGCCCTGCCGAATCTTGCACGCCCACCCTGTAGATCAGGCTTGAAAAAAGCTGAAGCGCCCTTGCCAAAGACATTCACCCATCAGCTGTTAACCCGCCCACTCTGCGCTCCTTCGCTGCACTTTGGCTGAGCCCGGCCGCTTGCTTGAGGAGAGTATCCCCACTTGGGAATGCCCTCCTGGCCCAGCAACAGCCAGCCAGGGAGTTGTGTGAGGAGAAGGAGGAGGAAGCAGCTGCCGCAGTTCGTGCTCGTTCCTCAGCTGCTGGCCTGTCCCCTTTCCATCATACCCCTTCCCAGATCCCATTCCCACCCCTCCAGCCCTCATGTTAGCGAGGTTGGTGTTGGCCATGGCTGGGTTGGGCCAATGTCTCAGGGCACAGCAATGCCTGCCCACAGAGAAGGCTCTCTGTACCACCTCTGACACACATGCCATACTTTTGCATCACGGGGCTAGACCCAGTATTATCACATAACATAGCTATCGCTATGTTTCCAGGTGTAATGTTGTTTATTACCTATAAACTATATATAGCTCTATATAGCTCACAATCACAGTTCTACTTCAAGAATTTAGTTTCAAATAAAATGTACCCAACAGTTGCATGCAGGTTGAGTATACCTGCTAAAGATCCCCTTCTATCCATTTGAAGATTATATGGATAATATGTTGTTTAGCTTGCACCCATCCTTTAATCTAGGTCATGGCACAGTTCAGCTAACTAGAAGTTTATTAAGCATCAGCAAAGATCAAAAATAGTGACAAAATGGGAGAAAAAGCAGGCCAAGGCAGAGAGAGGTATAAAATGAATGATGAACAATAGGCAGAGGCTTTAACATAAATTCTCTACATTATCTGTAGCCGTGATGGTGAGCCTATGGTTCACCATCACCATATGCAGAGCCATATCACCTGGCACATGCGCCATCGCCTGTTCCTCTTCTGGGTTTCTGGCGTGCATGCGCACATGATGATCAGCTGGCCTTTGTGCGTGCGCCAATGCCAGAAACCGGAAAAACTGGTCTTCTGTTTTCTGGCATGAGCATGTGCACTAGCCAGCTGATTGGTGTGTGCGCATTCACGCCAAAAACTGGAAGAGCACACCAGAAATTGGAAGTACCTTATTCAGCATGCACATGCCCCCTGGGCAGCTGCTCTTCCTGGCCGAAGCCCCGACGAGCGTATGTGCGCACACAAAGTGCTCCCTTTTTGGCACTTGGTGTCAAAAAGGTTTGCCATCCCTGATCTATAGCAATAGTTATAGTTATCAAAAGCCACAGACTTTTGTAGAGCATCTAGAAACAATATTGAAGATATTTAGCATGGAGAGTCCCAATGGAAGTGGCCTTTGGTTATTCTAATCTTAACTGTTGTTTTTTTATTTTTGTTTTTTTCCAGTTACGATAGCAATTTGGACCAGTATTCCCCTCTCTAAGTGATGTTGTCATAAAGTACAATGACCCCATTGCTTAGTGACAACAATGCTACTAGTCCCAGTTGCTGTTATATCCCCCTGCTGGTCATTAAATGACAAGTAGTAGAAGTTCTATGTAAGGGCCAGGGGAACCCCTGAAAGTGTCAGAGCACAAACAACTGTTTGTGTTGAGGGAAACTGGGAAACTTGGGGACCAGTACAGGAAAACCAGGAGTTGGACTGTGTGGCAGGGTATAAACACAATGAGATCAGGCGTGGACAGTGGAAGCACAGAAAAGCCAGGGGACCTTACCAGATAGCCTTGCAACCTTTCCTGTAGCTTCTCCATTGACTTTGCTTGTGGGAAGCTGGCAGGGAAGTTTGAAAATTATGATAATGTGACCATGAGGAGTTACAACCATCTGTAAGGACCTGCCCCAGCTGGTCCCTCAAGAAAGCAAAACTCTTGACTCCATTGAACTGAATCAAAAGAACTCTTACTGAGAGAAAGTAAAGTCAGGCAGAAACTGAAGGTCCCACGCAAAGCAATTCTTCCATTTTCTCAAACCCAACCCCACTGACTAGTCTACCAGGAGCCAATGTGATGCCGCAATGTTGTTTTGAGAATGCTGAGGTGCTAGGCAGATAACGGTTCACTCTCAGAACTCAACAATCTTGGAACCAGACTGGAACTGGCTGGTAGCAGTGGTGGGATTCAACTGGTTTGTACCACTTCGGCCGAACCAGTTGTTAAATTGCTGGCTGGCCCTGCCCTGCCCCACCCAGCCACTACTTATTAGCATCACACACATTGGCTGGCACCTTAGAGTCACACTGCGGCATAGCTGCAGCTGCTCTTTGGCTCCCTTGCCTCAACCATGTGGCTACGTGGCCCTGCCTACCTGCCTTTGCTGCAGCCTACGATGCGGTGGCCTCCCGCTCATCTTGGCCTGCTGCCTGCCTTGGGCTGCTCCCGACCACTCCAGCAGCAGAACAGATAAGTGCCCCCCTTGGGGAAGTGGGGCTGGGAAGGGTGGTTGACCTACCCCTGATGGATTGTGTGGCCCTGCAGCCAGCACCATAGAGTGGAGCCCGCCTCCCTCCTGGACTTGGGTAGCAGCCTACCCCAGTCGGATTGCCTCGGCATGCAGGCAGCCCCATCTATTGCGTTGACCAGACAGTCTCTTCGGGCCAGCCAGTTTGCCTGCCTCTCCAAGTGGCGCCATGGCCCAGCCAGTTCACTCACCCACTTTTCTGGCTCCCCAGCCATCACAGCTCACCTAGGCTCTCTCTGGTTCCCTCACAGGCTCACCAGCTTACCTGGATCCTCAGCCATCGCAGATCATCTAGGCCCTAGCCTAGCCCATGTGGCGCCCATGGCTCAGCTGCTCTCCGGCTTCCTCACTCCTAACTTAAGCCTTCAGCACTCCCTAGATAGATAAGTTTCTGTTTTACTTACATCTCACCCCCAGGGCCGATGAATGCATTCCCCCCTGGGAAATCTATGCTCGGTTCCCACTCTTGTCTAGAGAACCCTGCCCTGGCCTCAAACTACACTCTCCCCTCAGGTCAAAGCAATTTACCTGGCCTACAGCCTGCCATGCTTGGCTGAAGGGCTGCAGGGGGGAAGCACGGGTGGGAGGGAAGCGGGGGAGCGGCACAGGCGCAGGTGGGCTGAAGTGGTTTGGGTAAGGTTCTTATCTTACTGTCCCATCCATAAAGCACTGCAGTAGAGAGAAACAGCCAGGTTGGGCCATTGTTTTGGGGGAACATGTGGATCATCTCCCCGAGTGCCCAAGGCTCACTGTGCTGTGAAAGACGCTCTCCCAGCAATAGCAGCAGTGGAGAGAAGCAGCCGCTCCATGTGTTCTCTGGGCCAGCCACTGTTTCTCTCTGCTGCTGCTCTTGCTGGGAGAGCGTCTTTTGCAGCACAGCGAAATTTAGCAGCCATGAATTGCTGCTTTCCTCTAAGTCCCGTCCGGAAAGCACTGTGGCAGAGAAACAGCATTCAATCTGGCTGTTTCTCTCTGCCACAGAGCTATACAGATGGAGAGAAAAGCGGCAGCTCACAGCTGCTAAATTTCGCTGTGCTGCACAAGATGCTCTCCCAGCAAGAGCAATGGAGAGAAACAGCTGCCAACCCGGAGAGTATGTGGAGCATCTCCCCGAGTGCCCAAGGCATGCCCAGCACCAACAAGGGCCGCAAGAAGCGGCCACAAGATCAAGCAACATCTTGATGGGTAGGAGGCCTGAGAGAAAATTCCTTCTCCAAGGGCCGCCCATCCGGAGAGCTGCTGCCACTGCTCTGGAGCTCTCCTTCCACCGCTGCTGCCGCCGCCACTTTGTGACATCCTTCAGGATGGCTCAGAAAGTTCTTGCTTTGCTCCCCAGGATGGGCTCCATCATGGAGGGCTGTATGCCCAGACCAGGCGCTTTCTCTCGGGCCTCCCACCTTGCATGTGGTGGCGGGAGGAGGAAGTGTGTGGTGGGGAAGGCTGCCTGCAGTTCTTGCAGCCAGGAAACAAAGCTGGGATGTCTGCGAACTTGCATATGTAAGAGGTCTTCTGCCTTGAGCAGAAGATTGAACTATAAGACCTCCAAGGTACCTTCTGATTCTAAAATCTCCAAAACAAGGGAATTTGTTTAAATTGAGTGTGCGTGTGTGTGTGTGGGTGGGTGGGTGGGTGGGTGGGTGTGGGTGTTTTCTCAGAAATAATAGAATAACAGAGTTGAAAGGGACTTTGGAGATCTTCTGCTCAGGCAGGAATAACTGAGGATGCCAAAATCTGAGTAGAGGGCCTGGGAAAGGTGTCAGAATAACAGAATAACACTTAGAAGGGAGTTTGTGGGGGACCCTATACCATTTAAGAGAAATGGCTGTCCAGACTTTTCTTAAAAACCTCCAGTGATTGAGCACCCAGACCTTCTGGAGACAAGTAGTTCCACTGGTTAATTGTTCTCACTGTCAGGAAGTTTGTCCTTAGTTTTAGGTTGCTTCTCTCTTTGTTCAGTTTCCATCTATTGCTTCTTGTTTTGTCTTCTGCTTCTTTGGAAAATATATTGCCCTCCCCCTTCTTTGTGGCAGTCCCTCAAAAGTCTGTTTTGTGACCTGCCTATCACACTTTTGGGCGAAGTATGGGAGCCATTTCCTCCTTTCAGTGGTCCATGAAAATACATCTATAGTATGTAGGTACAGATAATAAAGTCAAAAAAAGGTGAACAACATTTTTACAGAATTATAGATACAGGTATGACAAGGAGTGGCTGGGAGGGAAGGGGCCAGGAGAGATGCCTCTTGACGTGAGTGATGTCGAGTTGGCCACGCCCACCCAGTCACATGACCACCAAGCCACTGACTGGGAGGAAGTCTGCTCTGCCTCTGAAGATAATCTCCCTCCCTTATTCCCAAGCTTACAGCAAAAGTTAAAGCATGTGAAAAATGCTTTCCTTTCTCCCTCCCCTCCAACAGAATGGCAGGACATGATGGTGGATCTGACACCATCAGAAATACAAGCTGGTTACTAAGAGCCTAAACTACAATCATCTGACTGCAGGAGTACTTTTACAGCTGCAACTTTGACAACTGGTTGTAAGTACCACTCACTAAGCATCATTGCAACTTTGAACGGTCTTTAAGCAAAGATTACCTGTAACAGCAAAACAGAGATGAAAAGTAGGCAATAGGTGACCTTTATTCAGTACTATGAAAGAAACAATTTGGTGAACAGGGACAATAAATCCAAGATGTTTAATGGGAAAGGTCATGAGAGCAGGCATTCTCTGTCAGTGCTCCCTTTCTCTGAAAAAAACATTGCTTCCTTCATATTTTTCTAGAAGATTTTAAAATCTGGTGTAGCAACTAGTAATTGTTTATTGTTTTGAGTAGTTATTTTATTGTAGTAGTGTATTTATTTATTGTACATATTGTATTAGTATAATTTAATAGTAGGCAGATTTCTGGGGAAATAACTAAATTCACTAATTAAAAATGCACATTTGCTATTGCAGAGCATTCCTCTTCTAATGAAAAGGAAAATATGAATTATTTTCTATAGGTTAAGGTTTATTTTGCTTTAAAACTACAGCCATTCCGTATATACAGAAAAAGAATAGTCTCCATACTAGTATATAAACACCCCAGGAACAGATCCATATCTGTTGCAAAAGGAATACAGTATTACTCTCTCAAAGCTTCTTTCCAAAGCAAATGCAACAATAAAAATCAATTTTTCCTCCAAATTGCTACAGAATTTCCCTATATGTGTTTGATAATATTTAGAAAAAGTGACATGGAAAGAGCGTAACTATGTGTTTTACTTTTTAATAAAAATCTGAGTCTGCGGTCGCTGCCAGACGGTCTTTTGGGACCGCCAGCCCCGCCGCCCGTAAAGAGCCGCCTTCACAGCTTAGAGGCGGCTCGAAAAACTCCGTTTCTTTAAGGAAATGTGAGGAGAGCCAGCGAGAACAGGTAGAGCCCTCTGCGAAGTCTCCAGAGTTTTTTTTTTACTCTTGGGGAGGAAGCAGGATGAGGGTCCCTATCCAGCTCGCCGCTGCTCCGGGCTTCAGGGGAACTCTGTGCCTTGCAGAGCTAGATGATGTGACCAACCTAATCAGCGAAAACTAACAGATTGCTTAAATAAGCAGGATGAAATCCGGATTTGGGACTCTAAATTGCAAGTATTTGTAACAACCCTATGACTGATTTTAAGAATGAAGAAAAAGTGGCTGCCAGACGGTCCCTTGGGACCGCCAGCCCCATCGCCTGTAAAGAGCCGCCTTTACAACAGAAAGGCGGCTCGAAAAACTCAATTTCCATGAGGAAATGCGAGATAGAGCCGGCGAGGGTAGGTAGAGCTCTCTGCGAAGCCCCAAAAGTTTTTTTTTTTACTTTTGGGGACGAAGCAGATGAGGCTCCCTATTTCCCCCGCCGCCGCTCCGGGCTTTGGGAGACCTCTGCCTTTCTGCAGAGCTAGGCGACAAGAACAAGCCTATTAAAGAAAACTAACAGATCAATTAAAGAGGATGAGAGTTGGACCTGTGACCCTGAATCGCAAGTATTTTCATTTATTTTATAAAAGTTACTGAAGAAGGAAAAAAGAATTTTTAAAATGGCGACTGCCGAGGCTTGAGAAGGGGCTGAAAGGGAAAGTCCTTCCGTCTCCTATTAAGTTACAAAGTAGCGGATAAATACTCCTGGCTACAATTGAAGATAAAGCTCCACTTTTGTGTTTTCTCTTTCCTGGAGTTTTGATATTGATCTTGTTTGGAAAGAAGCTTTTTTTTCCCTTTCTTTGCTTTTCTTTTCTTTTTTAAAAGAGTTGGTCTGTGTGGAAATATGGCGTTTAGACTCACAAAGCCGGACAAACAAGCAGTGGGGGGGGATTCCCCCATCTACAAATTATATGAACAAGTTCTAAACCTACAGTCTCAGAAAACTGATTTTAATATAATTGAATTCCTCTTGGAGGAGATTGTAAGAAGGGATGAGATTGTGAATCAGAACTTTGAAAAATTTAAGCAGGAAATTAAAGAATTGGTGCAATTAAAGTTTGATATTTTGCAACGAAAGATTGCAAAGGTGACTAATGGTTTCTCAGAAATTATGATCAAGTTGGATACAAATATTAATTTATTAGAGTCTAAAATGGAGGAAATTGAGGATAATTTGGACAATAAAATACAAAAAATTGAAAATGATTTGATAAACACTCAAGATAATAGCTTAGAAGAAAAACCTAAAATGGAAGCTGATCAAAAGACTTGTAATGCAGAAAACATAAAACAATGGATTGAAAAAGAAGTTTTAATGATGCAATATAATCTCACTGAATATGCGATTAGATTGAGAGGATTACAGGAAAATAACAGAGATGACTTAAGGAAAATATCTTCTGAAATTCTGGCTGGGATCTTAAAGGTTCACCCTGAGGAAGTATTTTGTAGGATCGACAGTTTATAGAATAAATTCCTGGATTGCAAAGCAAAGGCAACTGCCTAGAGATGTGGTGATTTATTTCACAGAGAAAGAAATAAGAAATAATATTGTGCAAAAATCTTTTAATTCTACTTTGCAATTGTTTGGAAGAAAGATTTGGATATACAAAGAGCTACCGGCTAAGATGTTATTGGAAAAAAAGAAATTTGGTTTTCTGGTGACTCAGCTTAAAAAACGAAATATTTTATTCAGGTGGGATGCTCCAGTTGGTATAATATTGAGATATCAAGGAGAAAGATACCAATTAAATACTGTTGAAAAAGCAGAAGAATTTCATCAAAATTTTTTGAAAATGAACTCAACATCTTTATGCACAACACAAGATAAGCAGAAGGAGTTGGAAATAAAGGAAAAATATCGAGTTACAGAGGCCTCTGTAGATGAATCGCCTTTGGATTCTTTAGACACCTCAGCTGGATTATCTATAAATAAGAGGGAAGTGGCATTGGATTCTAACGTGATGATTCATCAAGTCACAGACAAGCATTTTATTTATTTATTTGTTTAAATTTCTATACCGCCCTTCTCCAATATAGGACTCAGGGCGGTGAGCATGGAAATCAATTAGTTGACACACAACTTATAGAAAAGAAATATGAGTCACAAAAGCAAAACCAACAAGATCAAGTTATAAATCAGAATGAAAACCGATTAGACATACAATTTGTGGAAAGGAGATTAGGATGGAGATCAAACCCACAAAAAGTCAAGAAAAAAAGAAATAGATCTCACAAAAACAAAAATCCCTAAAATAGGCAACAGTGAAGCCAGTTATTTAAAAAATGACTGAATACATGAAAAGATAGGGGAGGCGAAGTATTGATTAATATTATCCTGAGGAGAGTGATAGACCTCTGCAATGCTGTAATTTTTGGATGTGAAAAGGGCCTTAAAGTGTTGGACTGGAATTATCTATTTTGGACTTTTTTTTTTGATAAATATATCATGTTTATGCTGAGCTACATGGCAAGAGAGCTATGCTGGGGCATGCAGAAGATCTGGTTGTTACCCCATTATGATGGTGGGAATCAATAATCCTGAAGAAATCCACTATTTCAGATATTATATGGAATACAATTATAATGTCACTCGGGTGGTTGTTTTCTTTTTTTATATACACGAAGATATTTATTATTGATGGGGCAGATGATAACTGAGGATTCTGAACATTCTGTTGCAATCAGGATGCCATGTTACCCTAATATGCATGATGGAGTTAACAATCCAGTGGAAAGACATCAAAGAAGACATTATATGGGAGACTTCCGGTTTGCTGTTTGTTGCTGCCAGACGTTCCTTTGGGATCGTCAGCTTCCACTGCCTGTCAGAGCCGCCTTCACAACGGAACGGCGGCTCGAAAAAACTCCGTTTCCATGAGGAAACGGAGATAGAGCCGGCAGGGGTGGGTAGAACTCTCTGCGGAGTCCCAAAAGTTTTTTTTTTACTTTTGGGACGGAGCGGATGAGATGCCCCGTATCCCCAGCCGCCGCTCCGGGCTTTGGGAGACCTCTGCTGATGCAGAGCCAGGCGTCAAAAGCAAGCCTGCAAATTTAACAGACTACTCAAAGAAAATGTGAGCTGGACCTGTAATATTGAACCGCAAGTATTTTACTGATTTTTTAAAAAAGAAATTACTTAAGAGAGAGGAGGAGAGGAAGGAGGGAAAAAAAAGCCTTTTAAAATGGCGTTGGCTGGAGGAGAGGCTTCCGTTTTCTATTACTACAATGTAGCGGAATAAATACCACTGGCTACATTTGTAGACAAAACTTCGCTCCTGTGCCTTTCTCTCTTTTTTTTTCCCTTGGAGACCTGATATTGTTGTTGATTGGAAAGAAGTCCTTTTTTCTTGCTTTTTTTTAACAAAGCCTGCCTGGGCGGAAACATGGCACTGAGACTCATAAAGTCAGATAAACAAGAAGGGGGGGGATCCCCCCACCAACAACTTAAAGGAACAAGTCTTAATTCTTCAGTCTCAGAAACCTGATTTTAATATAATAGAATTTTTTATAGAGGAGATTGAAAGAAGGGAGGAGATTGTGAATCAGCAATTTGAAAAATTTAAGCAGGAAATTAAAGAATTGGTGAAATCTAAGTTTGATTTTTTGGAGAAAAAACTCTCAAAAGTGGTTAATGGTTTTACAGGATTTATGATGCAGTTGGACACAAATACTAATGTACTAGAGTCTAAAATGGAAGAAATTCAAGATAAATTGGACAATAGAATTCAAAAAATTGAAAATGATTTGACAAACACTCAGGATAATAGCTTAGAAGAAAAATCTAAAATGGATGCTGATCAAAAGTATGGTAATGTAGAAAATCTGCAACAGAAGATTGAAAAAGAGATTTTAATGGTACAATATAATTTCACAGAATATGCGATAAGATTAAGAGGTTTGCAGGAAAATAATAGAGAGGATTTAAGGAAAATATCTTCTGAATTTCTAGCTGGGATTCTAAAGGTTCAACCTGACGAAGTGTTTTGTAGGATCGACAGAGCTTATCGAATCAACTCCTGGATTGCTAAGCAAAGGCAATTGCCTAGAGATGTGGTGATTTATTTTACAGATAAGGAAATTAGGAATAATATCGTT